ACTCTGAAGTTATTTCAGTTTTAAACTTTATTTCTATTGATATGAGTGAGGGGGCATGGGAGGGTGTATTGCATTTACTGTGGAAAAAAAACTATTTTTGAGTGTATTACGTTGTTCACCAAGTTATGGCAATATATGGGCACAAACATGTAGTTTATTTATGTCCTTCACACCATCATGAGATAATTGAAGATTTGTAGTGGCAAAACTTTTCAAAAACTTCCAAGTTTGCGATCTTGTGCGCCATTGCTGAATCGAACTTTTGCCCCACCGGTGGAATTGTTAACTAAATACTTTTAGTCAATCCTAACCTGGCCACAAGCAATTGGAGGTTTATATGAAAATTACTACGGGAAAACCAAACTTTTTGTTTATTGTCTACTAACCTTTTTCCATATTACCCTGATGAAAATTTTTATAGCTATTCTTATCAGAATTTTTTTCAACTACATCTTTGCGCAAAACCTCTTTCAGCCAAACGCAAATTAAATAGTTATTAATTATGTAAGATATTGATAATCTTATGGCATGATCAAGCAGCTGATTTGTGGGCAACACTTTATTCCCAAGTAGCATTGCAAGTTATATCGTGGTTTTATAGCATTCTACAATTGTTACATGGGTTGTGATATAGTAGCCATAATTTGTGTGCTTTATTCCACGTGCCAGAAAATTTTCCAAGATTCAAAATTTTCAAAATTTATCACTTTTTTAAGGATGAAGCACTCGGTCTACTCTGAAATAATTTTGAGTTTCGATTAAAGTCTGGTTATAAGAAAATTTGGAGGCAGGTTGAAAAGTACCACAACGTTCTGAGTGGTTGAGGCTCCCAACCGCTAGAAGAAAATGGTAGCGAGCAAGGGCACTATAACCTAGGCGAATACAGCATTCCCTCCGTATAGGTTACGTCCGCACACCGCTCTCTGTTGTCCTTCGACTGAGGTCGGCTGGATCGATTGAGGGATCGCAGTGGGTTGGCGGTGCCGTCTACGCTTGTACGGAGGGAGAACTGTACGCTCGAACACAAGGGGTAAATACCTGTGTTCCATCCCAGGAGATCGGACAACCAAGGAGTGTACATTAACTTTCTTAGCTCTATCACTCCCAACGATTTATATAGCCTATTTTCAAATCCTGCATACGGAGCGGTTGGTACGGTATGTCCCCGCTCTTTGATTACCTGTGGATTAAATGTTAACCACTGTCTATACTTATTAAGTAGACATGGTAAACATTCACTTCCACAAAAATTAACTAAACGCTACACAGTAGGCCTGGCCGCTTTATTGTTTGTTTCACATCCTTGATGTGCAGCAGGCATTAATAATGACAAGAAAAATGATAGATGTATCATTTTCCAGGATTCTTTCAAGTACTGGCTGTGTATGTGTAGACTAGACTAGACTAGACTAGACAACGTTCTGAGTGGTTGAGGCCAGAATCTTGTTTTTTAATATGTTTTGACGAGTAACTGGTGAATATTTCATTAAAATTTATCAACACGTTTCAAATTTATAGAAAACGAAAATTTATTCTACTCTACTCTACTATCCATCGTGGTCTGTTTTCAAGAGAGCTGAAATTTTAAACTTATTCTTTTATGTCATTTGAAAGCTGAATAAAAATCCTTCAATCCATGTACCTAACGTTATTCGTTATTTTGAAGCGATTTAAAGCTTTTAAATTGGCATCACCAGCTTTATACCACTCCAAGTATATCACGCTAAAACATAGCTTTGAACTTGTGTTCTCTAAAAATGGTAAAATCTTCTTCTTCACCTTCTTCCTGAGTTATCTGTCCCTAGTTTCGTTTTTCAGAACAATCTTCTGTGCTCTACTCATGCTAAGAGTTCCCTTATAACACTTAATTAAGATCCCTAATAAAAAATTGCCATAACCGAATGATAACCCAAATCATTAAACAATTCCACAAATGCTTTGGATGATACCCCGAATACGTCGTTAAGCAAATTAACCATACAATTTTTATTAGGGATGCATCTGTTGTCCTTGAATTTACATGGAACCAGACCACGAGGGATTTTTTTTGGTGTTTGTGCAGCATTTTTTTTCCAAGTTCGATGGTCTATAATATTGAAACGTGTTGATCAATTTTGATGAAATTCACCATTCACTCGTCAAAGTATAATAAACAAACTGCTGTCAAAATATTCCGACTTAAACCACCAAGGGCTTGGTGGTATATTGAAACCTTCGTCAAAATTTACTTTTAATTAGACATTAAAATCTAAATCCAGGATTTTGAAAATGTTGCAAAGTGTAGGTAATTTTTGGATCTTGAATTGAAAGATTTAAATTTTCTAGGTCAAAATTTCAATAAAATAATCCTCAGTCTGTTCCAGGTTTGGGGTATAACACATTTATAAATCGAGGATTTTCCTAGTTTGAAAATAGTTTGTCAAAATGTAGACCTTTGAAAATATTATCTTGAATATTTAAACAAATTAAGCTATAATATCTATAATATATCTATAAATTGATCGGAAAACTATGACATTCAAAGCGAGATGTGGAATTTTATACAAATTTAGAAATTCTAAAGTAACTTCCAGTTTATATCACTTAATGATTTCTAGAGCACATATCTCAGACACAGCTGCGACATCGGTCATGAAATTAGAACTGTCTCATAAGAAATAAGGTTTCCACAGCAATTCACCTAAACCACAGAAAGGTAAACAAAAGTTGTGAACAGTAATACTCCGTTTACACTACAGTCTATAATACGTAATAATAAAGCCATTCATGATATCAAGTTTTCACTGAATATTATATGTATGTATGACGTTTTGTAACTATATACCACGTAATATACACTATAAAGTGAATGAGGTATATGTTACTTGCCAGGAAGAATCCAAATAACTCATTATGACCTCGTTAGCTATTTTCGGTCGGAGATCTCGAAAATCATAATTTAATGAGACATTCAGAAGATTTGTTATTAAATTCGGAATCTGATGTTTTATTTTATTTTGGAGACATTAAACAGATTCTCGAACTAAGAAGAAAAAAATCTTACATCAGATTTATTGGAATGTTCAATGTTGAATCTAATTGTTATATGTCTAAAACCTGACATAAAAATTGGAGCCCATTTGCGAAAACTGATTCAATCTAATGGCCTCTAAAAATTTGGACTGGGCCTGGTCTTCTCGGCACCCCAAATAACTACGCCAACGATGATGATAAAATAAATGGATGCAAATTATTTTGGCAGAACTGTACTTCATGCTTGGTGAGACGCCCCCACCATTTTTGAAACATACATGCTTACCAATCTTGCATAACATTTAGAGCACTTATACAGCTACTCATAAAATTTTGGAGGCGAACCAGCCCAAGGCTGAAAGCCTCCTTAATAAAGCTAAATAATAATAATAATAATACTCATAAAATCAATTGAATTGAAAAATTCTCAACTTCTCGCCATCAGGGAAAATTAGTTTGCGTAATCCCTGGTGTGTCAGGTGTGCCCGAGGACAAGAATCGCTTTCATAGTAAACAAGGTTGGTAAATTGGTTCAATAATGCAAATAACTGAATAAAAGAAAAGAAGTTCGGTAGATCACTCACTCGAAAGGTTATCAATCCACGTTACAGGATTTTTCAGTTCTAATAACATTTATCTTGACATCTTCTTCTTCTTCTTCTTCTTCTTCTTCTTCTTCGCATTTAAAGCATGACATGGTGAGCATGAAAAGTTAAATAGCTGAATGCGTATCGTAAAATTATTTGTAAATTTATTCAACTACTTGGACTGGGGTCCCAGGGCTCCAGTTTGAAGCAATTTGAGAGTGTGCATTCTAACATTTCGTGGATAAAGAGACGTTTTTCTATGCAATGGCTCAATTCATGGTTGTATGAACTATGTTTTAGAATGAGACTCTCTGTTACTCCAACGGGTTTCACGTAAGTTTTATCTCCTTACGTGTCTGACTTCAGACGCTCAATGTGTATTAGCGTTCAAATCTTGATCAAGTCATGTTGTAAGAATTGTCATTTTTATTGGTAAGTGCCTTGTTCTGAAAGGTGTTGCTATACCATCATCGTAATCATGTTTTTTGTGACATATTTAGGTGTTTTAGGTAGTTTGAGTTTCAGCATTTATGCTAAAAAATGTCCTTTAAGATTTAATGGGAATCACATTAATCATTAATCAAAAGGAAGTGGTTGAAGAAGTTAGGAAGAGCTTGCAAATTTAATTAATTTCATTAATCGTTAAATGTTGCATTGAACATGGATTACAGTTGAAGACCTTTCAATGATAGTTTCGTTGAATTCAGCCTGACAGAAAAATATAGAACGTACACACTTCTCAACCAATTCACATGAATTATTTCAAGTTTCGTTTCTTAATCATCACTCGTTGGTGCCATGAAAAATCAACCCGCTGCTTTAAGAGCTGAGTAAATTCCATTTGAATCGGCTTTGATTTATCTGAGATTGCCAAATTTCGATCTCGTTTTGAACATTCACATTCGCCAACCACTTCCATCCATCATTAGACTTTAATGCATGTGTCGACTAACAAGCGGCGAACCCGTTTTTTTTTCCTATTTGCTTTGTGCATGTGGCATCTACTCAACTGATCATTCCCCTGAGCTGAGAAACTCCAAAGCAGCTTAGATTGGCGGGATTGCAATTCAATGACTTCTATCGCTCTGAAATGATCGCAAAACCTAACGCAATTTGTGCTGGTGTGTCGAAAAGAAGGTGTGTGATTTTGACACCTATTTACCCCTTGTATACATGCTGTCGGGAATGAGGTAATGGATTTCGCGAGGAGAAACCGTTCGAAATGGGTGGTCATTTATCACAAGTTGAGAAATAGCGTGAGATCGAAGACATGCACACATATTCAAATTTTATTACGAAATTATTCAAACACGTTTTGCGCTATATTCCGGATCAGTCACTAGCACCACTACACAAACAAGGTTGCAGGATCAATTTTCTGTAGTTACTGTAGTTACTTACAGAGTGCAGCGAATCCCAAGCACAGGATTAATCCAGTTAATTGTTTCATCCCTATCATTAGGATGTTTGTCACACTGCTCCAGTAAAGTTTGACTTTCTTTGATGCACTACCGCTCAGACAGTTTTGCTACAATGCAGTGTACACAGCTGCTGAATACACCGCGACGGATTGCCTTATGGATAACTAATGTTTGAAGGAACACTTCCAAGCTCAACCGAAAGGCGGGTTGTCGACGGTTGCTACTACTAAGACTAATATGACGACAATAACGACGCGGGCGTGAATGTTAGTAGCAGTTACTGAAAACGCGCGCGCGCTACACAAAATCACTACCGCGATGTCCGATGTCTGTTTACGAATAAAACCATAGCCAAAGTCTGTTGACCAGTTTTCAGCAATTCACCTTTTTAATTTTTTCTTCTGTTTCGCCTTTTCATCGAGGACCTATGTTCCAAGCCGCCTGAGTACAGCCGCCGACCACTCTCGGTGACGACGAAACACAAGTCGAACATGTGCCGAATTCAGTGTACCATTACCGTCCCATGGTGTGGCTCTATTTCATCTAGCTTAACGATATTTATTATAATAATTATGTGTTTTGTTCAATAATGTAATTTTATACAGAAGCACTACTATTCTTCCATACAGTTCGTTACTATTGCATCATATGGTGCGGGCTCAACATTTGAACTATTTTGTTTCTTTTTGCCTTTCTCGTACATCGAGGTGTACCAAAGCACATAACATATGTGGAACTTCATGCAAAATAGATGACTAAAAGTTGACCCCTTTTTTGTGTTGCCTTGTGTAGTTCAAAGTCAATCAATGTAAGCCACCAATTCTATCAGATAGGAGGACTCTCGCTCTACACAATCATTGTGGTAGTTTACTTGAGTGAGTTTTCATTGTCGAGAAATTCTCCGAGAAAGTAATTGTTTACGTTTGCGACATTGGCCCTTGTGAAAGAAAAGCAGATATAAGATGTATGCTCAGTAAGCATTGATGTTGACGGTGACTCTGCAACTCTTTACCCCTATGGTAAAATCTCATAAGCATCTGACAATCTGTGCATGAAATCTAGTGGACTTTGTCGTATCTCTTCATTCCATCACACCGTTCGAAAAATTCATGTGAATTGCTGCGAGATATAGCGCACATAAAATTAACGCTAGATTTAGCATAAATATACGCGGTATTTCGTGTAAATTTAAGCGTAATATCGCATAAATTAGCAATATTGTATGCAAGCTTGTAAACGAATTTGATGCCAAGTATAGCTTAAAATTAAACGAAGGGAGATTTTACGCGATAGTTAAAATTCAGTATTTTTTCTGTGTGTGGGATTTTCATAGGAGAAGCGGCGCCAGTGATGTAGTGGTAAGCGTGATTACCTCTCACCCCAGCAGGCCTGGGTTCAATCCCAGTCGGCGCCGCCGGGATGTTCTGAGGCATAATATCTCTGATCACGCCTTCCTTCGGAAGGGAAGTAAAGCCGTTGGTCCCCGGTTCATGAGTAGATGAGTCGATAGGTAGGGTCCAGGTGTGGGAGCTGCCTCCCTGGCGTCGGTAGCATTGGTGCTCAGAAAACAAATCAAAGGCAAAAAATATTTCATAGGAGTGAAAGGGTAAAGAAATGTTCACCATGTTTCATGGCCAGACTGATGTTTGCTTATGAGATTTTACGGATTTTACGGTAGGAGTAAAGAGTTACAGAGTGAACGAAAGGGCGAGAACGATAGAAGTAGGTTATGCTCGCGAATGGTTGAGTTTCTTGCGCTCCTGTCACGATTTGTACTAGCTTATCTGCACCGTTCGAAAAATTCATGTAAATTTCTGCGAGATATAACGCACATAAAATTAACGCTAGATTTGGCATAAATTTACGCGATATTTCGTGTAAATTTTAGCGTAATATCGTATAAATTAGCAATATTGTATGCAAACTTGTAAACGATTTCGCTGTTTATGTCAAGTATAGCTCAACATTAAACGAAGGGAGATTTTACGCGATAGTTAAAATTCAGATTTTTTTCTGTGTGTGTGTTTTCCGTTTAAAAACTCGTTTTCGGTTGAAAAACGAAGATTTTTAGTGGTGGTCTCATTAAATTGATAAAGTTTGCGAATAATTCTGGTGTCGTGTTTTCCCTCCGGTGTTTTAGACAACATCGATCACTGGTAGAAGTTCGAGAGAATCTGGCAGACCAGAAATATGAATCTGATTATTGTCGTTTTAACAGCGTGAAAACGTGAAAGCGTGAAAAAGTGCTATCATCAGGACATACTAAAGAAAAGTTCAAAACCGACCAAGGACGATCTACGGAAGGAAATAGCCGCGTGAAAAATGGAATCACAGAACAGAAGGGAAAGTGCAAACAAATCGGTGAATCAAAAAATGGTTCGTTTTTCTGCTCAACAAGCAATGTGTTGTGGTACATAGGAGAAAATTCGGTAAGTTCCTTCCATTGCATTATTTTATGATTCTTCAATATTGTACAAATATTTACACATGACACACAACTACACATAGTAACTCGGAGCGTTTGGTACGGTATGTCCACGCATCCTTCCACCCCTGTAGATTCAAGAAATGTTCCCATTCATTTCCAACAATCATCTTTGCGGCAAATACAACGCAGTAGGCCTGGCCGTATTGATGTTTATATCATATCTCAGATATGCTGTAAACATCAATTAGACAAGAAAAATGGTTAGACCTCATCTAACCTAATCATTTTCCAGGATGCTTTCTCGTACTGGCTGCGTTTGTTTTAGATTAGATTAGATTAGATTAGACAGAGTGAACGAAAAGGCGAACTGTCAATTGTCAGAGGTGAGGCCCAGAGAATTTATCGTCTTTTTTGTTCATCCGCTGTTTAAATGGTTTACAGTGTTTGCTGTTTACAGCTCATTTGATTATTCGGCCATTCTTTTTTCGACTAGCGACAGGGGGCTTTTCAAAGGATATTTTCACTAGTATTTTCTTGTCGATCAGAAGTCAATCAAGAGCGTTGTTATTCGGCCATTCTTTTTTCGACTAGCGACAGGGGGCTTTTCAAAGGATATTTTCACTAGTATTTTCTTGTCGATCAGAAGTCAATCAAGAGCGTTGTTAAACAGTAATTTACTTGTCTTCAACCTGCTTGAATTGTATTGGATTGATTACGGATATTATGTATATTGAATGCACTGTAATGATAACACTTCAAATTTGCACAGTCGTATTTTTTCTCAAACGAAACCTTATGAAATCAAAGGTTGATGCAATTAGTTACAAGAAAAATGTCCAATGAAAAGATGGTACGTACATTTTTATTCAAAATTTGCCTCAGAGAAAAAAAAATCGAAAAAATGAATCCGTGCAAATTTAGAGTTAGAAGAAATGAACGCGTGGAGTTTCCAGACTTTTTTGGCCATAATTTCAGAAAAACAATACGTTTTGGTATCAAAATTGGGCTGTAAATAGTTGGGTTGCTGGTCATCGCATAAAAAATCGGCAAATAATGTCTACTTTTTTAATGCAAACGTTAATATTTTGCTGTGTGAAGCAAGATGATGAATTGGTTAAAGCTAGCTATATTATTATAAATAAAGAAAGTATATTGTTATCGAAATATGAAGAGATGAGTTCAGGAGTACTAAGAAGACACATAATTATAAACCACGATAGAATTATTGAAAATTGCCTACCCCCTTACTCATTTTAAAGCTGGTATAATCAATTTGACAGATTGATGTCCTTTGAGCGGAGCAAGTTTCAACTGAATTTCATCCCGATCTGACATGTGGTTCCGGAGATAGAATCAAAAACGTGAATTTTAGGTACTCCCGGGGATGTCGGCAGACTATGAGTCAAAACCCATCAGTCGGCTCATTAAATCATATGAGAATGCAAAAATAAGACCAGTGGTGGTCAAATGAAGTATCCAGGACTACATTTCATTATGGGCCAGAAATTAAAATTTCGCGGCAAAATCAAAAAAGTATTTTCGAAGCAATCGGAATTTAATTCTGGGGCCATTTTGAATTTAAGTGTGCTTGTTTTTTTTTAAACATGGTGATATAATGTACGATGCTTGCAAAACAATTTTTACTGGTAGTGATCCAATAAATATCCAATCAAAAAGTTGTACACCACTTTAAAAAAAGGTAAAAGGTAAATTTTCTCTGTTTTAACATATTTATGTTTTTAATAAATAATGTTTTGACAGTTGATAATGTTTTGATAAATTGTTAATACTGATATCTATTTCATTAATTTTCTTGAAAAAGCACTATTATTTTCCATTTTCTACTTAAAAGTAACGGTATTCCCAAGTATTCGAAACCAATGGAGCAAGGACTTGTTTCTGCACATATTTTGAAGTATTTCATAATTTTCTTTAAAATAAGTGTTTTTTTTCCATTTATTCCTTAGCAAACGTTCTGATTAATAAAAATATCGAAACATAATGAAGAACAATTTATTCACAACTTCTTCAGTTTTTCTCCCATTTTGTTTTTGTTTTCCCCAAACAACACGTAGGTTTTCCAAATTCCACAACAGCAGGCTGCGAAACTTTAGCGTCTTCAGTAGAGTTGCTCATTTTTTTTCAAGATAAACAACTTTTCTTAAGGCATCCAGTTTTCACAATGTCAGAGTAAAAAGTTTGATTTTGGCACCATCTATGAGGATGAATTGCGAACGAAGATAGTTTTCGTTATTGTGAGAAAAAGATAGTTTTCGTTATTGTGAGAATCTTCTTCGAAGGTACCAAGCCTCAGAAATGATTCGTTTGACCACAACAAAAACAAGATTATTACCGATCAGACGAAGTATTCAGGAACATAAACCGTCAGGGGCGGGAAAAGAACATTATAAAACAGATTCTTATGCCAAAATCAAAACATCTATAACATTTGTTGAAAATCACATTCTAACGGGTGTTCAATAAAAAATGAGAATGATTTCAGTGCCGTCCAGCGCTCCTGTGAGAGCATCGCGACTAAGTTGCGTCGTACGGCTGGCTAGGGCCCCTTCTCCAATATTCATTGACGTTTTTTTTTTTGAAGAATAAACATCATTTTTTTAATAAAAAATACTGAATTCGTTGAAAAAAATTTTTTTTACTAGCTATATGACTGAAAAAATTCTATTTTTTTATTGAACACCCGTTAGTTAACGGTTTATTAGCATCCTAGTTTGTAAGCGTTTTCTCAATCTAACACAGTTAAAAACAGTAGTGTAAAATTTCGTGATTATGATGCACATAAAAGCAGCATCATATATAATACAAGTTTACATAATAGATGTTGTAAATTTATGATACATTCAATGAAATATTACAAATACTGTTTGCATGCATGGTCGCCAGTAAAATTCAGAATTTTTTCTGTGAAGTTATA